AAAAAAAATAGATTTTCGATTAGTTATAAACTCATGAAGGAAAGCCGCTACACACTCTGCATTTCAACACACTACACCGCTCCACAGAGTTTTATTATCAACCACACACTCGATTGATTGTTGTAAAATTTGAAGAACCTTTCGTCAGGTCGAAGTTACCAGTTTCTGTAGGCCCCAGTATGTGGTCTTGAACCTCGCCGTGGCCTCTAAGTTAACCCTGACCCGATAATGCTTCCCTGATACCCGAGATGAAGAAAAAGACAGGAGACGACGCAGACACAGGCGTTTACTTCAGAGTTCAACCACGCTGGTGTCATTGAGCTACCATCGAGACCTACGTGTGAAGACAATCCAGGGTAAATGTTCGCATTAACGAGGGGGAGTTGAAGGTACGCGCGGCTGGCGACATGCTGCGAAAAGGGGAACCCTCTGATGCAGGCTGGAGTGATCGGATTAACACGTATGAATCAGCGCGATTTACGACACTCTAAAGTGCACATTAGTCGACTATTTTGCAGTGCAGAAGCACAAAGCCACATTGAAGGCGAAACTTGTCTGCATTAGACCTTTATGCATTCCGTGATATGTCAAAATCGAGTGCTGCGTGCAGACCAGATTCAAGCATTGATAGTTAACGGATGTAGAAACGTCATTAACCACATATGTGGAGGAGGGCGCTAACCATCACTGACTTTATTGTCAGTAATTAAATGAAAGCTGAAAATAATGCACCTACTTTGTTCGCAAAAGCGTCGACACTAGAGATAGCCTCGTGCTCATCGTCTGTCTCTGGCTCCCTTTCCACACCTACCACCTGCGTCACATCCTCCCAAATATTGCCGGCACCATCTTCGTCGTTTTCTTCTTCTTCACCTGCTGGAAGGCATCCATGGGCCTCAGCCCACTCACACCACGCTTTGTTAGGAGCAAATTGCTGCCCATTCACAGGCAATCCAGCCAACACCCTCATTGTCTTTTTTGCCAACAACTTCATGTTCTCCAGGTGTGTAAATGGGTTGATTGCCGAATCGAAATTCGGATGATCGATCAGGAAGAGAAGGGATTTCACCACATCCAGCAAATTGTAACAGCTACAAGCTCAGAAAACAGCAGAAATTACACATTGTTAACCGGTTTTTGTGATAGCAAATTAAATAACGTAAATGCAACCAACAAAAACCAGGCACAACATGCCAATAGATTTAAAAGTTACCTGTTTTCTGCAAAGCGTAATCTTAATAGCTCTCCTCTTATGGAGATCATACCTTACATTAAGACATAATAAACATGGTACTTTCCAAAGTCTATCGAGAGCATTGTGGAAATTTCACGGCCATAGTCTAGCCTTGTTACTTTATACAGAGACCCTTCTAGCGGCAACTGTGTGAACATGGTGTTCCTATGGTCCTACATTTATTTTCGAAGAAGAGGGCGATGCTCACCTAAGCCATTTATCCAGGATGTTAAGACAAACGTCTCCCGTCTCAATGTCGATATTGGGATGGAAGATTGGTGACGCGAATTTTACTTCTGGAGCGTCTCTTGGGAAAGTTAAAGAGCACTTAATCTAAAATAAGCAAAGGCATCAAAACACGCTTTTTATAGATACACGTAAAATACAAAGTGCGAATGCAACAGTTATGCTTAATACTCAAACCCACACAAACGCCTAAAGTTCCATTCCAAATAAATATGTTTCAGGTCTCAAAGACAAATAATTCTATGCATTTTGCAGACCATAAAAAGGCAGCGCCATTTGAAACTACTTTAAAGCTTTTGTTTGCGACCTGCAAACTAAACCATAAAAAGCAATCACCAAGACAAGGAAATCAGTGCACACCGCCACGTGAACTGCTTCATCGGCACTTAAAACGCTTTGTGAACCCATTCAAACGCCAACATGGTGTCGTTGGCACAACAAGAGCATCGCGTGTTAAGAAGCAGCTCACGAAACACTAAAATTCCGAGTACCTTGCTTTTCATGTTTCTTATGTTGCCTTGATTTACCATGATTGTGTTTAAACCCACACAGGCCACCTTCTACTACTCAAAACACCACATTTCACGCAACAAAGAGTGCTTCGTCAAAATATGTCTTTTTTTATTTCACTTCTATCTGATTTGCTGAAACAAAGAGTGCAGAGAAAAACAACAAAATGTTTAACAGGCTTGAATGTGGAGCAATTGTAAGATATTTTGGCGGATAATAAAGAGGTGAATAAAAACAAGTGCGCGCTGAGAGAATCACTTCATATTTTTAGCACAGTCAAAAGGCGAAATCAACTTCCACTTTCAACACATCATCATTGGCACTTACTTCCACCGTGAAGGCAGCGTGCGCGTTGTAACCAGAGTTGGGATGAAGCGAGACCACCACTGACATTTCATTGGCTGCGACTATGGAGGCCTGACCATGTGTTGATGCCTCAATCATCCGATAGAGTTGATGGAGGTCCTTTAGGTAGGAGCGTTGAGTCGTTGAACGCGACATCTGGGTGCGAAAGCAGTGTGGTTTATGTAGCACATTTTCCAGACTGAATCAAGGACGTGAATGCTAATGCTTCTTAATTTAGCGTACTTTAATTTCAGACATAAAGTTCTTTTGCGATGCTACGCTAGGTGAAAAATGTACATAAGTTTATTGTTTGCAGAAATGGCCTAATTTGCCTCAAACTAAGACTAAATTCTTAGTGCCATATTAACATTAGAGACATGCAAGTCCCAAATTTTGTTTTCGCCAGAGACGTATTAGTTTCAATAATGAAAATAAACCAACAAACTGCCCTCGCATTTTGCACAAACATTAGTGAAGACGACAGTTTTTGAGTGTCATTGTAGCAAACTGTAAAGCACTGTCAAAACTTCACCCACACAGCAGTTG